TGCACTATTTCTGGCAGTCTGCAAAGGTCCTTGAGCCTACTTCCTCAGAGGCATGTTTTGGAGATGCATCAGGAAGCAGGCTCAGGTCTCCAAAAGCTCAGGCTACCAACCTCTTATCTTTCACTTTACAGACTGCCAAAAATAATCCAGTTTGAAACCACTTTAACTGCCCTGGCTCAATGCTAGGGAATCATGGGAATTGTAGTTTTTTCTGAGAAATTGCTCTTCTGTCAGAGCTCTGGTGCCACAATAAATTACAGTTCCCAGGATTCCCAAACACAGCCAGGGCAGTTAAAGTGGTCTCGGAAGATGGATCATTTCTGGCAGTCTGTAAAGGCCCTTAGTCTCAAAGGTGTTGCAAGATCCCTCTGCATACTGATTTTCCAGACTAACACAGCTATATCTTGGAAAGTATGTGTTGCAAGCTTTTGAAGCTCCACTGGCTTCTTTGTCAGGCAAAGGTGTTAAAAATCAAACGAGAGAGGGAAAATTATGACTGTGTTAGTCTGAAGCCTGCATTTTGTCAAGATGTAGCTGTTCTCAGTCCAGGTGCTGTGGAGTTTAGCCTGAGTTTAAGGCATTTTTACTCAGAAAAAAAGTCCTACACAGGGTTCTGTAAGGTTTGCACCACGGCCTTGTGCTGGAAGTAAATTTCACAGTGTCCCAGTGAGGGTTAACAGAGCAGTTCTCTGCATCATGTCTACTCAGAATTAGGTTCTAGTGATATCAGATGGAGGACTGCAGCCTTGCATTTGAGTAAGGAGCAGAGGGCCTTAGTTTAGCCATAGCAAAGTTTAGCAATAGTAATAGCATTTATATTTCTATACCGCTTAATAGTGAACTCATCACTCTTTAAGTGGTTTACAGTTTGTAAGCCAATTGCCCCCAACAAGCTGGTACTCATTTTACCAACCTACAAAAGGATGGAAGGCTGAGTCAACCTTGGAGCCCTGGGATCACACTGTTGTGGCTGCAGTACCAGCATTTAACCACTATGTCATCAGGGCTCCTTAGGTTTAGTCCAGGGGTAGGCAACCTTTTTGAGCTGGGGGCCGGGTTGCTGTACCTCAGACAATTGGGGGGGCCGAAGCACCATAAATAAATAAAAAATAAAAATAAATTTGTTTTTAAAAATTTTTAAAAAAATATGCATGCAAACTCTCTCCGCCCCAGAAAAGCCATGGCAAAACCCCTGTGGAGATTTT